AAAGATGATCTTGAGGGTTTACAATTAACTTGAAGACCTTCACAGCTTGATAATCAAATCCGACACTTGATTGTTACCAGTTTAACGCCCTAGCCTTCCCGTCGCCAAGACACCCAATAATATTTACTATCTGTATACCAAACGAATGACTCTACAAACCATTTCACTTTTACCACTCATAAATGTAGACATTGTCATTGATTACTGCCATGATCGATGTCGTAACCTCATAATAATTGTCTGTCCTTTACGGCGTCGATTTCTGCAAACTCTTGTCCGAACCATCGCCCAGCGAGAAGCAGGTGTTGTCAGAACAGCTCTACGACCGTCTTCACGCGGCTGCTCGCTCAATACAGTAATGAGCGTCACGGAACTAAAAACGATTTTCATGTGCGATGGCAACTTTGCGACTTGTCGGTATTTCAGACGGGAACAGCTAAAAAGTTGGGGCAACAGCTCTGGAACCACAACGGCACCAAGAACGTCGCTACAACACCGAATACTTCCGCCGTCTGCGTAACGCCATGGCGGTGGTGGAACGTTTGTTATCGAACACACCCTGCGTTGCTTGACATCTGCTCTTTGCGCAGCCCCGGGGTCTGTGGATAGTATGAAGACTACTAGCCCAAATGTAATAATATATTAGTAACAAGACCAAAAACTTTGTTATATTTACAACGGAGGTGTAAGGCGGTGGCATTATGCGCAAAATGGAAGATAATACGTTTCGTGAATGAAAAACTTACCAAATGTCGCAATAATTTTTTTATATAATTATTACTAATATGCGCTTCAATTTGGATAGTTTTATCTAATATAGAACTACAAACGAATACAAAACAGTAGGATTATTTGGGGTCTATGGAATTTAATATGGGTGTATAGTGAAACATTTACGCTAGACTTGATGTGTTGTTGGTAAAGATCACCCTTGCATTGCTTGATTTTTGAAGTTACAATATATATATATATATATATATCCGAATTGAATTAATTTTCGGAATACTAGCGACACTTTAGCGAGGAATAGTTGAATACGTGTTCTTGTCGTTTTGCTCTTTCTACATGGAGTAGCTTCCTAAATGATATACCGATAATGGTTAAGAGCTTTTCAGGTGAAACGGGCACGCTGTTGCAATACAGTCACTTGTATAGTGAAAGGCTTTTCACTTAGATACCACGGTTGATTTCATTATGATTATGTCATTGTATCATAGAGAAAAATATGGCTCGCCAACTGGTATAAATATAGGCGTTGCAGGACGAAAGCTCCGAGTTCGTTCGTACTGCTGTTATGTTCGCATGATAACGTGAGCGTATAGTGTCATTGTGTGTAATCGTTGCTCAGATAGTTCGCTTGTGCAACCGCACAAAAGAAGTTTCCAGAATAAATTGGAGAAGGTCACTGGTTTTACTGTATGGTTAGGTGTTGCCGGCGCTCAAAGTTTTTCTTGACGTTCTTCGCTCTAAATTATGGATGGTCATCCCTCGACCTTCGCGGAAGCAGCGCAGAGACCAGCCGAGCCGTTTGGCTGAAGCGAGACATAACCGCCATCTGGTGAGAGGAAGATCATATGTTCGAGGTAAATAAATCAAATTGAAGCGGTCTAAGCAGTGAAAGTTGTCGAGGGACCAATAAATAGCCCACACACACAAGAGGCGGGAATAGTAAGCTATCATTATTTATACTAAGGTACGCCACTGAGTTTATAAATCTATATTATTTTCCGCATTCTTTCCGCAACAACAATGTCTTAGACCACTTCGTTTTACCACAGAACACATATTACAGGTGTCCCAGAAACAATCTACGTACGCATTGTTAGATCAACGTTTATTATCGTTGATTTATTCAAATTTACCGCTTCATTGATCTTAGTAAAAACCAATGTGTAACCCAAATATGACAAACGACTAGATCTAGACGATTTCTTGACAGGATTTACGTACTTTTGCATTACAGAATGCGCTATTTAGTTCGTTTTAGACAGCTAGACAGATGTTATGTGCCAAGTTTGCTTCTGCTTGATAGCGCTAACGTCGCCTGGTAAGCCGTTGCGGATGCATCAGCCTACGGATGGGCAAGGTTGCAAAACGTTTCGTACTTAGTATACTATGCTAAAAATTAGTGCGCTAATACTGTACATACACGCATTGTGTGAACAGTATTAACTCTGGATGTCAGTAATTGTGGGCCATAGTGTCGTTTTGTTCTAATACTTTGTATGTGATCTGTTACATAGGGTTGAGTCAATCAAACGGCCTCATCCCAGGTCTGGCAGGGCGTGTACGCACAGGCGAAAAAGTAATGATACTGAAATTGGGTCAAGCGTTACTCTGTTTTTCAACTGTCAAGGCTTGTGTGGTAGGCACTGGCAAAAATAGTCACGATGAGGATTTTGCAGTTAGGGTAATGTTTGGTCGTAGCTCAAAACTGTTGCCTGCCACAAAGACAGCTAAAAGCAAGCATCTACATCATAGATTGATCAATAAAATAGGCGGATAGCCCCCCTCACAACGAACCATGCATGAGAGTGCTTAGCAGACTCCTGTTAAGAGACTGCAGCGCTAAATATTCGGATTTGCACACGCAGACGCAAACATAGCCCTCTTCATGGAGGAGGCCTACAGAAACTTCAGCGAGATAGTTTTAACCGGCGTCCAAGAATAAAGGCTAAAACTATACTTTTAATGAAAATAACAAAAATAATTCATTTTCTTTAGAAATTCACGTTGTATCAGTTGTTACCCCTAAGCTCATCACGTCTTGGGTGTAAAATATCATGTAAGATGTTTACTGTTACAATAAGACCAAAAGAAACTGCGTAAAGCTATGCCATTGTGCACAAATCGAACCGTGTTTTAGGAGGGTGGAGTTTGCGCCCTATTCTGTTATTGAATAGATTTATGTTGAGATTTGATAATATATCAGGTCATTTTAAGCGAAATGGATCTGAAAAATGAAAGCCGAACCACCGCTCATTTTTTGAAGATTCTTTTGGGAGTTTGAAGGCAGAATCAGTTTAACCCTCTTTCCCTATTCGTGTTAAATCCGCCAGTATGCAGCACTGAGTTTAAAATACGTCGGCTGGATACGTTGATTCAGGGAAAAATCGCGACAGTGAGTACTAGATCTGTAAATATTCATGGGTGTTTTCCTCCAAACTTAGAAAAACAAAAAACTTAGTTGGAGTGGGTGTCTTTCCTATGAATCCATTCATACGCGGCAACTAGCGGAATTAAAGTAAACTTACTTCAAGTTTGAATTAAAAAAAAAACCTGTTATCTTTCCTTCGAATTTTTGATCTAACTTACTTCGAAATAAAAGTGTTTTTGAATTCTTTTTAGAAAACCTGTGGGGTAATAACATTGAAAAACATGCTTCATTAACGAATTAGAAAATACAACGTTAGATCGATTTATATAATATATGGCCTACGGGTTTAGAACCGGAAACTCTACGGCAGAATCCGGGTTTGCCCTGAAGAGGCCAAACGTGGTCCTGTTACTCCCGTAGCCACTATTTTCTAGTAACTCAAGAACCATTAATGAGCCACAGTGCGTTGCACAAATGCGCTGAGCTCATACGTTAAAACAGGCTGACAGTATTTCTACAGAGGCAATTTGTTTATTTTCAGGCGGAACTGATTATTTTATCGCGACGAAAATTATATGAATACGGTCTGGTGGCGACTATTACACTCTTGCATAAGTTTTTGTACTGCGGCCAGAACTAATTTACATAGAAAGTTGTTGTCGTTACAGGCGACTTCGAACTTAACACAGCATGGGAAAAAAGGAACGAGTGTATCGGGTTTGTGTTTTTGACGTTTGTGATGGATCAGAAAATGGTAAATTTGTACAGAAAAAGTGACGGTTGTATACGTGTATAGTCGCTGCTACATAAAGCTATTTTAAGCATAAAACTTGAGCTTCCATAATTGTAAGTGCCATTATTTTATTTCACTTCAAGCGAAAATTCTGTCATACGCTCAAAATGATGCGATAGCGACCACGTAAATAAACAGTTTTCTATAGGAAACCCGGCAGGTTGCTGTTCAGCTTAGAGTGCCCGTGAAATTTCTCTTCATTAGCAAATAGGGTACTACAAGGCCAAATTGCTGAAAGATTTGGCGACACACTTCTATCTGCTGAAGTTTGCCTTAGGTCAAAGAAGTTTTAGACAAATCCGAATGTTCGATATAAAACATCAAGTATTTTTTCATTCAATAACAGCTGTATTCTATCTGGGCGCCACGAAGCGACGCAAGGCCGTACGAGATAAGTTCATTTGTATCATCATTTGTTAAGTCATTGAAAAAGCTGAGCGACCATCAATCTAAAAGACTCAACGAGAGCTTTATAATGATCGTTTGAAAGAGCTACCGTTTCGTTTATGCGATAGAAGCGAATTAAACATAGATTTTTCTTTACTGTAATATACTGAGTCACTATACTGTAAAAATCATTAGTAGTCTATGACCAGCCGAGGTAGAAAAACGTATCAATTCAGCGGGTTCTGCAATTAGAAACGGCGGCCTAAAGTGGCTTAAGACTGTGGAAAATTTCTTAAACCAAATCTCGGTGTCCCAGATAGTTACACATTAGCCTCTCAAGTATCAGAAAAAAAAGAAAAAAAACGGTGTTACGACTCCACTTGCTCGAAGTTGATCACGTTATGAAGTTGATAGAGTTCGATTCAGCTTCCGGTTTCGGCAAACTCGAACTCCAACATCAGAGTGAAAATGATATGTCATTCACGCCACTATGAGTCCATATTGCTTCTACTCGTACTCGGATGCTTCTACTTTTTTGTCGCGTTTTGTATAGTTCAGCGCCTTTGCTGCCCTTGCTTCTGAACACCCCGTCGTCACGTGACGCTCAACAGCCAATCATTAGCTCTGGGGAAAGAGCTCCCGGTTGCTGAAATACTTAAACAGGGGAGAACCACTTGTGGGATTTTATAAAAGGTGGCGCTCGCATCGTCGCCGATGGGGCGGCAATTTCGGGCGAGGGTTGTGTCTTTGTAGCTGAATAATTGGCAACAAGGAAATTCACTCTATCCTCTCTGCCTGAAGCGCGAGTCGACGATGATCTAACGCGCGAGAAGTGACTCGTGGTGTACAATCTTTTTTCACGCGTTTTGGCAGTAAAAGCCGACGCCATGAAGAGCCTTGAGGTAATTGCGGCCATGCTCGTAGGTGAGTATAACACACGACATTTTAAACGAATTAGGGTTAATCAGAGCTGTGCTGAATAGTATATTGCTAGAACTTTATCATAATGGCAGTGTTGTGACCTTTAAGGAGAAAATTCGTCCATGGTTTATGCGCGCCGGCGCCTAACAAATTTGTGCAATGACTCAGGGTCTTCGAGAGCCCATACCTCATCCTTCATGTAATTTCTAGGGATATTGTTTTATTAAAGTCATACACCCCGTGTGGTGCAGTGGTTCAGCATCTATCCCGATGTAAGTGAATGTTAGTACGGATTTTGTACATAGTACATGAGTATCAGAAGCCTCTAATATGAAATTGCATCGAATGTCCTTATCTGTCGGATTGTAAAGGTGCTGTGGACAAGCGCACAAAATGACAGAAATCGTCAATTTTTTTTTTGTTAGAGATCATTGGGCATTCGACGATCGAATAGATCGTCCTAATGAAGATTGTTTCTAATTATTGCCTTAAATCTTTGATAACGTCGACCACCGGAATAGTCAAGGATAGACAATGACGTCGGGTGAACGATGCGCCGTGTAGCGACAAAGAGTCACCACCGGACGAAAGCTCGAGGCACAGACATATAGATCACACGGTATCGCATTCACGGGTACTGTGATCGAACTCACTTCAAGCAGTCGTTGTTCTATTTTTTGGGACTTCAGGAGCTACACAGCTAGCGAGCATTTGAATGGCACAGCTTCATGTTTGTGTCGTTGACGAGAGAGAGATTCTTAGGTAACGCGGGTTCTACACGTTCTACTTGGATGTGCTTGAGTGGTTTTGGAAAAATCCTGCCGTCGACGGATAAATCGTTAAATTTTCGTTCTGAAACGTGTGTTTTGAAGGGTTAGCCTGTGGCGTACGCGCTGCTTACATTACAGAGTACGCGGTTTTGAGAATGAACATACTTGATTAAGTCAAGTCCACCGATGAAAACTCATATAGATACTGAACAGGCCTATAACCTGTGGTTAGTGCACACAGTGAGTAAACCTACGCGTTGAAATAGGACATCATAGCTTTATTTACCGACTAACACTATATGTGAAACAGGGACCGGCTAAGAGAAGTTTTACAAACTGGAAAAGTGTTACAAAAGGGAATGATTGTGAGTCAAGAGTATTGCCGTAGCACGCGAGGAAATGTCTCACTTTCGAACGGATTCATGCTATGCGTTGCGATTTAGCACAAGTCTAATAAAGCTCCTTGAACGCATAACGAGCTATGCTTAAAGGTTTTAACAAGTGGATTTCAAAAAACGGTAATTATTGAACAGTAATATATTTTTATATTTGTATCCACATCCAAATCTCGCTCAGAAAGAGAATTGTTAAATGATAAATTGTTTACAGCTTTGACTTTTTGCTACTGGGCCAATGGTGATTTCTACGAAGCCACCTCGAACCTTTAATAAGACTAAAAGAGAATTATATCAAGAAAAATAGCGTTGCCTAGAATGTATGTGAAGCGTTCATCTGTAAAAACAATGTAGAGACTTATTATCACTGCATCATCAAATCGTTATTAAATATCCTTGATTGAATATCGAGCCTTCAGCGCACGAATGCGAGAGCTAAATATTTAGAACTATCCTCTATTTGTTTGTTTATGGACATTCTATTACCTGAATTGCACTAGGTCAACTAGTGTAAATTGAAAGCCATTTGTTACTTCCTACAGAATACCTATCCGAAACGAAAAGTCGAATGTACTGCCGAGCGAGCAGGTCCGTTACGCAGATTGTCATCATGGAGATCCACGATAAAGTCTCATTTATTGCCTACTCACACAACGTCCATGCCGTTAAATGCTAAGCGGAACATGCCCCATCGAAAGCTTCCGTGGGGTTTTTCTATCATCAGACAAAAAAACCCAATCCACACAAGATTCCTAGTATTATATATTTAGAGAAAGACAGGTCTGATTTGATACACGCCATCATTTATTTTAGCGCTTTCGACATGTTTCGTATGTGCTATATATACCATATGTTGTAGATAAATGAATCAGCGACGGTGAAGAAGATAACCTTGTCATGCTTTCATGAGCCCGTCTTTCCGTCGCCGTTGCATTGACCCAGAAGCAAGGTTGCCGTCATTTGCCGTCCAGGCGATTGATTGTGTCTTTTGCCCATGGAATGACGAGGCCTGCGTACTGCGTGCCTACAGGTGTATGATATTTCCATGCTGATACGATGCTAACCATAACGGCAGATCCGATTGGGTCGGAGCATTGGTTTCGACGTTACGTAACGCGTAAACAAAGAACTCGTCATAATCGTAACGTAGTCGCTATACAATAATTAGTACTTTAAACGAACGCCACAATTCAACTACTAGCCAACGATTAGAACTTGTTGTGTGGGTGTTTCAAAATTCGGCTGTGCTCCTCGGAGCTCTCTGTTGCTTCAGCTGGAAGGTCGCTGCAGCTTGATCGTTTAAATTATTAATTAGTAGTTAAAAGTATAAATAAATTGTGTAAATAATCAATATTGATCTATAGTTGTGTTCATGGACGTTACATACCCGCTGGCCAGAGGAAGCAATTTTAAAAACGTTCCATCAATAATGGGTTTAATTCAACTCGTTAAAAAATGAATATTATACCATCTTATTTTACTTGTGCGCCGTTGTTGTGGCGGCCAAGAAGTCGCGGCTACAAGATCTTATACGCTGAAATGAACCTTAGCCATATTATTCTGTGGATTTAATTCAATATTTTTGCTGGCATTTACTCTTCCACCGTTTTGGACAGTCGTCGCTTTGATTTTGACTTGAATTAAATGTTTATTATTATGCAGATGCAAAGCGACCACCGTATACATGAAGGCCCCGTACATTAATGCATCACACTTTCCCCTAATTAAAATGTATGTTAAATCGAAGTACTCTTATCAACATATATCGGTGGTATAGGAATTATCAACAGGGAACAAAATGTCACTAAAGATAAGAACCGCTGTGCTGAGTAGTAACGAAGAATCATATCCGACCTATAAATTGTGCCACTCCGTTCGATTTTTGCGTCGTCCATTTATGTTCTTTCGTATTATGCGGCTTAAACTAAGCTAAATAGAACGTATTCTTAGATGGCTTCAGATGAAGCTTTTAAAATGTCATGCTACCCGTTTTGCTTCCATCGATTAAGTGTACTACCAAAGAGTAAGCATCAAATAAAGTGCGTATCACAAATGAGATTACAAATACGCGAGATCGTTTAGAATCTAGATTGTGCTTCATTTTAGCGTTACTGCTATTAAGCTTAAAAAAAGGTTTTCAGTATATCTCCTCGTGGGCTTTAGTCTTCCATTCTTGTGGTCGACTTGAAATATAATCTTATGATGCAAAATTTATCGCACCTTAGACAACCTCGCCGACAACAACGAAAGTTCACCTCATCAGTGTGTGTTCGGCCTACATCAGTGTATATGGCCAATGCCGCTTATCTTCTTTCGCCGCTAAGAACGTAAACAAGCAAACTTTTTTTCTGTACCCGCAAAAATAGAAACCTGCAGTACCCCGCCGCGGGCCGCTGTGTTTTCGCATGGCCGAAGTCCGTTTGCTTCTGCCGCTAGCGGTTGGCTGTATCATCAATTGATTCTGGTGAAAGCCACTTTGGTCTGACCAGAGAAAAACGAAACGACAAAGAAGTAAAGTGTACCTATCGATTTGAGATAGCGGCGTCGACGATACCAAAAACGTAACGAGGTGCACTACAGAGCCAGGTTGTGTAATAATGAAATTTTGTTTTCTGGTAGAATCAACACAAGTGGGGTTTTTTAGCACTTCATCGTTAGTGCGAGTTCTCTAGCTTCGATTGAATTTGGGATTGACTTAGCATCAATCAGCGGCAGCATTATCGATCGACTTAATAAGAGATTTCAGATCGACATTATTTGAAGCGCTAACGATTGTCGTTTGCCTCTTACTATGCTCAGTAAAGGCAAAGATAGTCAATCTAGATAGATATAGACTAATCAATAATGCCTATTTCATTCTCGTTAAACATTGAACCTTTATAAGATTTTCCTGTTGCCGAAATCGCTTGGCATACAAGATGCTCCTGCTCCCTTGAATGTCGTTACTGCACAAAGTCGTATTTCTCTATATTTCCAGCTATACGTCCGGTATCGCCGGTAGCTGGCTCTTGCCGGCATGAAACAAATCCTATGGCTGTCTATGCCCGGTTTCGAACCTAAACCGCCACACGTACCCGGTATTTGCAAGCAAATGCGTTACCCACTAATTCGTTACGGAGACATAGTAAATTGTGCTTATCTAGAACTAAGTAATACTATTTACAAATGCTGGTAACATGGTCGGTTGAGTAAGCGTTTCGTTGCAAAAGTCGAGGCAACATTTTTTTATGTTCCCCTAGACCTATTTTCAGTTTCGATGAAAATACGTACACGTTATCCAAGGCCTATCACTTAATTTCACTTTAAACAAAAGAAGAGCTGCAAGTTCATGCGTTTGAACGTTTGCATAAGCTGATTCTTTTGCAGTAATAATAAAACTACAATTGATTGCGACCAGCTCCGTTAGGCTTGGTTAATATTGAAAATGGCTTTGAAGGTCTCGAAAACTCTCTTAACGGCAACGGCTTATCAAAGCTAGCTTCAACTTGTAGTATGTAACAGCCGCAAGAGAGGATCATCCGTTGCTTTCTGTCACAGCTGGTCTGTGACTACGTTGAATACGAGAATTTCAGCGCTGTCCAGTCTTTTCCCTGCCATTAGTGGTTTCGTGTTGACTTACTTTGGCTAGCGTTCAGAGCTCGTTAATCTGTAATGCGTATTACGGTAACAAAAAAACAAAAAAAAAAAAAGAAAAAAAGAATCACGGGTTTCACTGCCCGACTGCTGTTGTTTGCGTACAATTTTTCACGATCCACATACTGAAAGCTTGCATCACAGATTGTATGTAGTAGGCTTCGCTCGACCTACCGCTCATACAGTTGACCAACCGTTTAGGGCGCGATGTCGCCGTTACAACAGCTGAATAAAGATGCGGGAAAAATAGAAGAAGGTATACAACTATTATGAAGTTAGTATTTAACAGTATAGGCCACTTTCTATGCAGATTACTTTTCAATGTATAGAACGAAAACATTACAAACCTCTTCGCGTGCTGAACGAATAGTCGTCAGCCAGAAATCATGTCGATAACGTAAATACGACCGTCACATGTTTATATAACAATATGTTTTATACAGTCAATGAGTTAGTCTTTTTAGGGTGCTGATTCCATAAGCTGTGATCCATTTCTGATAATGACCCTAAACTTATCTATCTAATAGCGCATTATACACAGAGCAGGAGCGAAATGGAAACTGGCATTAGATAAAGGTTCAGCCATATACACATTATTTTTCACTTAATCACAGTTAACTCATTACCAAAATTGGAGGGCCGAAGCAACTAAATTCGCTATAGCAGATCAATGAAATTGATACGCGCATGCGTAGTAACCCGTGAAACGTAGGCGGCACATTTGAAAGCATGTTGGGGAGACTAAATGCGAACGAGTGAGTGATTCCTCATCTCATCATCTAGAACACTCAATAATTGGACGCTCCGGCCATTTTGAATGTAGTCCTTGACTGTAGTCGATTGTCGGTCTTTCTAATTTCTGCACAAATACGATAATACTTGCATTATTACTGTTGCTGTTTACGTTGGCATTTGTTGCTAACGTGATGCGGTTATGGGTCAAGGTTAGATCTAGACAGAGACCACTGCGAACACAGGTTTTGGGCCGCATCCGAGCAAACGTCATAAAAAAAAGTTTGATGACTTGATGCTGCTCGCAAGATTTTTCTATAATGTATGTACGATTCGCGTCGATTTTTTATGTTAGAAAAGTTGATACGGAAAAATAAACAGATTTTTTTGTGTAAAACCAATCAGAGGGGTATACATGTCTTATGCGATAATGCCATTCTGTTCTTCTAAGGGGATTCAGTGCAGATGTTCTAAGGATATGTTTTACTTGTTGGCAATTTTTGTCACCCTATACCAGCGTGGTCCCGCTAAAAAAAATGCAAAAATTGCTTTGGTTTAATCCCTATTTCTTTTTTAATCATAAAAGTAACATTTAAACTGATAAGACGGCACAACTTGTCAAGGCAAGTTTCAATCGGCGGAACCGGAACTTCGCGGATAAATCACCACTGAATAACGATGGTAGCGTTCGTCATACTGCGCCGATCTGCTTGCTGTGAAATCAGCTTAGTGTTTGAGACTAATCAAGCTAAGCCGTGCGCGAATTCGTTGAATTTACCAGGCTACTAAAGGCAAACATTCGAATTAATCGTAGATGTCATAATGAGCACGGTAACAACGTTACCATGGTAGAAAATGGTAGATCAAACGCAAGTATTTAGTACTTGTAGCTGTGGAAGACTGCCAGCGAGAAGACCCACAGAGACCCACGCAAGTTGTGGTTTGCGAATGTAGCGGATCGCGGTCACAGACAGCCTGTCTCACGCTTGGCCGGAGACGCCCTTCGGCCTTAATAGCAGTGAAATGAAAGGTGGTCGTTGCTTCGTCGGGCCAAGCCATCATCATATTCAGCACAAACATTACTGACTCAATGTATTCTACGACTGTTCAGCAAACTTCAAGGGATGTATGTATCGTATAGGATATAGCTGAGGAAGCCAGTCGATCCGCCGTGTTGGCGCCGCCATCTCATACACACGAGCAGTTGTGGCAGTAAGAGTCATAATAATAATAACATCAAGTGCAGAATCACTGGCTTTAGCTACAACTATACGTAAACTTTTTGTCAGTTCTGCCAGAACTATGAAATATAATAAAATAATTTTCATCATCATCATCATCAGTAGCAGCAGCAGCAGCAATGAATCAAAATATGTTTTTGTATATGAAAGCAGTCGTTATTCGGTGATATACAGACCTGGCGGTAAAGGTAACCGGCGGGTCGTTCGTCGTAACCCTATCTAGGATTAAAGTAAATGTTGATGGAAAATAGCTCTACTTTGAGAGGACGATCTGTTTCCTTATGATTATTGTTACTAGTATTGCGCTATTTTTAAGCAGCGGGGCAGGCTGTCAAATAGATACTCAACCCTGAGCAAACCTTAGATCAACGTCGTTTGAATGCTGCACATGGAAAAAAAACGTGGTACCGTGGCAAAATACAGTGGTGACACGAAATGCGGTAACAGCATTTTTGAAGTATTTAGTTGTCATTTTAAAAAAATACTTATACTTAATTATAAATCAAAAACAAATTTGATAATTTTTTTTTGGGGAAGACCTTTGAATGTTTTGGCAAGATAAACCACTACGCAGAAAAATACAACGAAGATTAACCGATGGTCCACTAGTCATAACAGGAAGTGAATAGAACATCCAATGGGAAAAGGAGACGATGACCGATATCCTACCTTCGTACAAGACACAAACTACGAATAAAGCAGTGCCACACAAACTAAAAATATTTTAAGATTTACGTCCAGTGCTGTCATTACGCATTGCTTCAGACGGCTGGTTTTTATCACCATAAAACGAACTGTATATCTACCCACGCCAAATAAGACTTTTCACCCACAAATGTTTTATAAGTGTGGTAGATCGATGAAAACTCTACTACAGCGCAATTACAAGGATACACAAAAATACAAAAAAAACAAACCAGATTAACTTGTTTTAAATATGCGTAATACATGCTATTTATACTTAAAGTCTTCCATTCGACACCATGCCAAGAGCAACTGTACAACCCAAAGTTTTGATTTTTTCTATTTACTCAGCGTTCAAGCAAACATCGATAGAACCACATAGTGCGTGCTTAATATCTCCATGAGTCCGGCCCGGTAAGATCGATATTATCTCCGAAATTTTTAATCATACTAAATATTAATATATATATGCACTGGTTGCTTATGCAGAAAAAAAAACAACTTAATCAACTATAACGTAAGTAGCAAATGAGTGTATTAACTGTTTTAGTTGGGTAGATTCAAGGTAACAGAATGACTGCACCTTTGCAGGACAAATCGGACTGGATTGTCCTTACGTGCTTTTGCAGAAAACTTGCCCGTTATATAAACGTTCATGGTATTCTTAGATGGACAGCCTTACAGAGGTGTATATGTTTACGGTTGTAGCCCCGCACTTATGGCCATTGTACATACAAACATACATATATGTGCCATGTTCCGCAACCCTTCTTCGTTATAGTCATTGCTGCAACGACAAGTAAATCGCGTCGACGTGGCCTGACCTTTATCGAATCCACCCCTCGTAACAGACTTCGGCGCGTGCTTGAATTTCCTATTAAGAAGTAAAGAATAAATGTAGGTGGACTCGTATAAGCTGATATGTAGCAATGACTAACTGCGTCAATCATCTTACACCCTACGAATCCCACCCAACTCGGGGGGTGAAGATAACAAATTACGACAGTGCTGGACAACCAAATGCAATAAGCCATTACTTCAATTTACGCTGATGTTAATGTTTTATCATTGAACATGTTAATAGTAGCCTCCACGTCTTCCAAACGCGCGTTCCGTGCCTGAAGTGGCTAAATAAACCAAATACTGTAAAAGCGGCACTAGTCGAGTTCGAGACAGCTGAACAAAAAACATAACGTTATTGTGATCGACTTATGCATTGGCAAATGTCTGACTAAAGCGAGCCCTATAATTAAATGAATCTTGTCGTTTCGTTAAACTGCTCGGGCCACGAACAGCCTCCACATTGATAACAGCTTCACCCCGGCCACTGGTACGGCGGATTCGTCGCCAGTCGGGTGACTCCGGGGAAGGCGAAGACGATGCCGAGCTCTGTAAGGATCGACCACCTGCGGAATACTTTCGCCTTACAAAGGACGAAGACTGCCGAGATGTTGTGAGGTGCTCCGTTCAGGTGTGTAGAGGAGACTTGAATAAAATTATATTCTTACCATTTTATAATAATTTGCATATTTCTTGTGTGCCTTTAAACTTCACATAAATTCGAACTTGTACAGCTACGTTACGATGAAAGAATTATAATCCCCGGGACTCAGCAAGACGCTCGTTGGATCGACGCGGAAAATTCGCACCCGTCGCTTACACGGAAAGATATTCTTAAAATTAGTCTAAAATATACTTCTACATGATATTTCTTAGAGCAATAACTAATAATTTTTTTGTCTCGTACAAAAATGCCAAAGGCTTCTAAGTACCCCCAATAATAAGTAATCAACAATCGTCCTTTCCTAATTACTTTTATAGGGCCTTCTAGCTCTGCGATGCCCTTCCGGCCTCGCGTTCGACATCGAGAAGCAGACGTGCGACTGGAAGGCTAACGTGCACAACTGTAACCAGACAGAGAAGCCGCGGGTCGCTTTGCCCCTGCTCGCTACAGATGAGCCCATCTGCGAAGCGGGAAAATTGGCTTGTTCTGCTGACGAATGTATCGAACAAGAGAAGTTTTGTGATGGAGTGAACGACTGCAGTGACGGCCAAGACGAAAACGTCTGCACGCCCGACAAGGTGCGAATAGCAATCAATACAAGTGTAATACAGTTAGACGCCCATTTAGGCACGGCACTCGGCTGATCGGAGCGTTTACGCATTGCGTACTATGAAAAATTTTCTATATAAATTTGGTTTATATTGTATATATATGAGTTTATGAAAAAATATATATATAAATTTGTACGAAGCAATATTAATTTCCAAGCTATACGAGAAAAAACAGACTGAATAATGGTTAATGAAAATTATTTGTCAATAATTTATGTATTAATCAAAAAGAGAAATATTACTAGGATGATTTATGATAGATTTGAATTAATTTCCTACTTTGTTTGTTACTTTTATAAGTGTTGGTACAAGCGTGGTATACATACGTGGTACAAGCGAAGTTCTGCTTCAGCCAAAAGATGTGTGAAGGCATTGGCTAGATCGCGACGAGCCTGTACTCAATAAGCAGCTAGCCAAATATATTACTTTAGAGAAGAAATTAATATTTCCTCGTCGAGGCGACAAACTATTGAATGCTAATACAAAGCAGTGATGTCTCCTGTACGCTATCCATTTTTAGGATCCGAACCGAGCTCCACCTTGTGATCCGACCCAGTGTGTTCTTCCTGATTGCTTCTGTTCGCATGACGGCACCCAGATTCCTGGCAAGCTCGAACCTAGCGTCGTGCCTCAAATGATCACACTCACATTCGATGATGCCATCAACAACAACAATATCGACCTTTATGATAAGATCTTTAAAGTATGCCATTTATCTATTGACGAGTATGTGATTTTAGGCACTAGATGGCGGGGGGTACTAACTGGACATCAAATAATAATTAATTGGGTTTTTTTTTTCTAATTTCTATCGGAGTCTGAATGTTTTTCCTCTGCTCTGGAATATTTAGGAGGGCCGTAATAACCCCAATGGATGTACTATCAAGGCAACGTTTTTCATTTCGCATAAATATTCGAACTACTCGGCAATTCAGGAGATGCACCGAAGAGGTCATGAGATGGCCGCCCACTCGATCACGTACGTACTTCCTTCGCGTCGTGAATTTGTGAGCTGCCACCACGGAGTCATTGTTTTTACGTTACTCGTTTTCATGATAATGTACCTAGATTTTTTTTTAAACAAATGCAGTACTATAAATGAATATGACAAAATCGAGTTAATATGGTACATGAAAACTTGTTCTAAATATTAGAACTCCATTGTAACGTTTTGCCTAACATTTTAACAAATCAACTTGAACCTTTTTAACGAATTAATCCAAAGGCGAATTTACTTGGTAATGGCAGAAATGCCTTCCACAAAACGAATGTGCAGGAGTGAACGGACTAATAGACATGTTCGAAAAGGACTATTCGAAATTCATGACAGTATGTTTTTTTGCTGAATAGCCATAAAAACGATGAAAATTACTGGTCCCAAGGAAACAAGGACACTTGGACCAAGGAAATGGCTGGTTCCCGTTACATTATGGAGCGTTTTGCTAACATCACTGATAATTCGATTGTTGGAGTCCGAGCACCCTATCTCCGAGTGGGTGGCAATCCCCAGTTCTTCATGATGGAGGACCAGGCTTTCCTCTACGACTCCACCATTACCGCACCCCTCTCAAACCCGCCCCTTTGGCCATATACACTATTCTTTCGTATGCCTCACAGGTAACGTAGCTTACGCTGCTATTCATGCCAAATGTCTCTGTACATGTATCTGTAATAATAATAAAGTATGGCTAATGCTTTACCTGTTATCCTGTCATTTTGCTGTCGTTTCTAGGTGTCACGGAAACGGACAGAACTGCCCTTCGCGATCACACGCTGTCTGGGAGATGGTAATGAATGAGTTAGATCGACGAGACGACCCGACCTTTGATGAGGAACTTGCCGGTTGTGCGATGGTCGACGCCTGCTCAAATATTATTTCCGGCGACCAATTCTACAGCTTCCTCAACCACAACTTCGAAAGGCATTACAAGACGAACAGAGCCCCGTTGGGCCTTTACTTTCACGCGTCGTGGCTAAAGCTTAATCCTGAGTATCTAGACGCCTTCATCCAATGGGTTGACGAGATATTAGACAAAAATGATGTCTACTTTGTGACAATGAGCCAGGTGCGTTTCTGAAGTCGAGGCAGATCGTTATCCTATATTTACTAGTAATTTTAGTTTAGAATGAACGATTTCACTTCGCAAGGAAAATGTGATGCACTTCTGTTTATTAATCATCGTATTAAAAAACAATAGATACGCACACTATGGTAGTATAAACAATATATAATGCATGTGATAAGATTTACTGATGAATGATGCGTCGTCTAGTGTTCCTCTATGGAGATATGCCTGCAGCCCGAACCTGCCATTGAACTATACATTTAGTCAGATGTCCTGGGCTACGACAGAAGGTTAGGCCGAAATGATCTTTCGAATTTCAAATATGGTGCTGGCGTTAGAAGTTGCTTCATCAGTACCAGTTGCCTATGATCCTTAGAGAAACATGTTTCCCTACCAAATACGAATATATTCGTTCTACAATATTTAAATAGATAGTGATTAATCCGGACGCGTTCATAGTACAACCCTTACGTTCAAAAAATTTTCTTCATAACTTATCGTCCTACTGCAATGACAATTGTAGGTGCTCGAATGGATTCAGCACCCGGCTGAGATTTCTGCAATTAATTCGTTTGGGCCATGGAAAGAAAAGTGTGATGTTAAGGGTCAGCCCGCCTGTTCTCTCCCAAACGCGTGTCCATTGACCACTCGGGAACTTCCTGGCGAGACCGTTCGTTTGCACACGTGCGTCGAATGCCCCAGAAATTATCCCTGGATAGCGGATCCCAGTGGCGACTTTTACGCCAACTGATTGACTAGCTAATTAACCAGTCACTTTTTACAGCTTTCTAATGCGCTTGTTGCAGTGCCATGCAACTATAGTACACAACAATTCGTATACCTTGTCCTGAAACATAAAAGAAACACAAAAACTACCTGCATGTTAAAAACAAATAAAGCAAAAAGCAAACAAACTAGGAAAGCGAAATGCTACAGAAGATTGTTGGTGATTTTAAGCAAGCCAAGTTTGACGGGATAATCTTGATCATTTGTTGTCTTGTAGCGTTAAAGAAGAGCGTGCGCATCGTCCTGTTTCTGATGCTGTTTGAATCATGCGCTGGACGATGAAGTCTACTGATAACGAAATTTCGAAATAAGTCGTTAAACAGGACTTCAGACGGCTGGCTCCCAGCACGAAACGAAGCGTGTTCACGCCCGTATTCGAACCTAGACCAACTCGTGTTTTGTTTCTACCTTACTGTATTCCAGTGCCAAACACGTCTAGCGAACATTCTCGCGCATCAGTAAACGCTGGTGTTGTGGACAGCTATACCTTTTTTCGAAAATATTTTAGAGATTATATATATTCGTGGCAATCGTTGTACTTCAGCTGATGAGATTCGCCGGAATTGAGCTTGTGACCAACCACGCTATCCGGCAGCTGTAAATACTTATAATAAAAAACAAGAAGAGTGGACTCCTAATGCCTTCTGTGTATTTTCTATTGATTCAATTAAACGAGAATATATTCTCGGAATGGAGAGAAACGAAAACGTAATGTGATTGACGTACAAATGAAGAAGTTATTTAAATGGGAAAAGAAAAGTGATCGAGAAAGACCTGCTTTTTAGGGAGATTGTCCTGATACAAATAAACACGAACGTTCTCCGAACAAACAATGGGTTCTTTATTGCGAACGCTGCACGAGCATGCTGCATGACTAAGCCTTTGTATATTTTTATTTGTTCGGCGCTAAAGTTCGATACTATCCACTCGAAGTAATAAGCGATAGACACCAGCCAGAAGTTAATGAAAAATCGTTGTGGTACGGAATTGGCTAATGTTGGGTACTTTAAATCGTGTGATTGATGGTAGCCATAGGTATGGGTGACTCCAAGTCCAAATCTCTGAGGGCAATTGTGTCAAATCTTTAACAAAAACTCCTGATGAAAAATAAATCCGCCTGGGAGCCAGGTGTGAACATCTGCTGAAACGTCCACGGACGTTTTTCATACACAGGTGACATCTTCAACTTTAATTATTAGTTCCAATTTTTTTCTATTTCTAACATCAAAGCATCGAGGCTACTTTAGTAATGAGTTTTCTAAAACTAAACGCATCCGTCGAAAAGAGTAAACCTATACACTTAAAAGCTAAGTACAAGAAAAGCAATTGAATATCAGACTACTGTCCCCAGTGTAGCTTCTATCGAAAATAAGTAAATCATAGGTAATAAACTTCCTATTTTTTTTTTTAAATTAGATGCTTGCTTTTCCCTTTTAGTCTCAAAACCACCAACATGTTAGTGAAAGAACTGTAAACTTCTTGTTACATCAGCTTTATGGAAACGCGTACTCTAAGTGGTGTTTAAGCGGCTTTTCAACAAACGTAAGTGCAAGATCCTATTTCCACACATTCCATTACGCTGATATGGCAGTTACTGCGTATGAAATCGACTATGCTAGCCGCGCGATTGCAAGAAAATCAAATGGAAAGCCCTGTAGATTTGTATTTTCATTTTATTTTCGAAGTTCGTGCTGATCATGCGTGTCGAAGAGGGTTCATTTAACGATGGTCCCGCTCCATCTTTTACAGCGTAACCGTGCACGTCACAGGAGAATGTCCAAAGTCGTACGTTGGCTACTTTTTAATATGATTCATAAGCGTACGTCTACGTTCCATATGCGATGCACGATTATTCATTTGTATGCGTGAATTTCCTTTGTCGGTAACGCTATTGTACGTACGAGCTGTAGTACTTATACATTCTCTGTTCTGCGGTGTGGCGTGTTCAGTACTGCTCAGGGTTGCGTGGTACGCAGCGCGCTGAAAGTTATACCAGCCCGGCTGCCTGAGCCGAAAAGTAAGTTTCGTTAGGTTTCGTATACTTCGAATCGAATAGATCTTGGGCTCGTTACTTTACACCGAAAGCAAAGTTTTAGAGCAAAGTTCTATAAAGCTTTTTCTGCATGAATAGACTCGTGAGCGGTGTTATCTCGTGCGTTTGTGGATCTGATGAGACGCCCTCCATGTGCAGTAATAGCGCAATAAGGGATACGCTGGTGCACTGTTGTTGCATTTTGTGACGACAAAGCAACTTCTAGCAGTTGCGAATGGGTTACGTGTAGTCCGGGCCACGAAGTAATCAAATCGAAGTAGAATGATTCGTTTGTTATTTGGCAATGGGCGTACATCAATAAAAGTGGTATGCTGATAAAAAAAACGCGTGCCCATTTTAAGATTTGAGGGATGTGTAGACGGCTTTGCTGGCTCATCATCGGCTCGTTACAACACAGAATCATAGGACAAGTCTAGGATCTACGCAAAAGCAGAGGTTCTTACATTTAATATTCTGCTCGTAATTAATCCACAAAACCGCTCCATCTAGCAAAGAAGCTGCAAAAGTTTTACTTTATAATAGTGCAAGTTGTGGCACCAGTTAGCAATGGCTGGCACGTGCTAACCTGAAAGAAGGGTTTTTCATCCTACTTACTTATTTGCGACCTAGAAGAATCGTTGATTAGCATCATTACTATCAATTATCGCACAGTAGAGAATATTGTTGACCACTGAGCCCTTTTTGGTTCGTTTGTTCGTTATCGTTCTTTAAAACTGACACTTCATATAGGCGACAGTGAACGTATTGGTAAAAAAAAAAAAATGACATATTTTTGTCGGTATCACTTGCTGAGATACATTTCTTTATTTAAGTAGAACCGGGGTTACTTGTTTGCTTGGGTTACTAGAATTGGGGCTTTTCAGTTGTGTGTTGCGTGTGTCAAGCTGGTATTTTCAACATCGGAGGTTCGGGTGAGGACAATGTTTAATTCGGGTCTTACAAAACATGTACACTATATACTGAATATGATTGTGTGTGGTGTTGTTGATACTGTTAATGTAATGAACTGTTGTTGTTACGCGGCGCGAACTAGCAGACAGTTTTTTTTAGCTTTCGGGCACTGAATATTAAATACTGAGATGATTGACTACTGGTCACTCTTAGTCTGCCCAGTAGTTTGCATAAACTATTGCTACAGTAGTTAATAAAAGGTAACACTATTCTACTACATATATGTACATAGTTCATTCTTAGGTTCCTTATTTTAGTTCCTTATCTACTGCCTAATAATAATAATAAAAAAAAAAAAAAAAAACTTATCTTTTTATAAAATCAGCGTCATTAATATTTGTCTTCATAGGACTTTCCTAAGGAGAAATATTATTTAAAAAGATATTTTATGACCATAATATTGAACTCTTTTCACAAATATATATATATATATATAGTAGGACCGTTTGTTTGAAAGCGTCAAAGGCGGGATGATTGGTAGAATCAGTTTATTAGGTACTACAGAATATCTGTACGATACCAAACATCATTAGACATTGAAAATACGCTAGCAGAAAATGCTAACAATATTCGTTGAAGTGAACTTGATGTCGTTAGCTTTGTCAGCGATCACAGCTTCTATCGTTGCGTTCGTTGTTGTGTATGCAGTGAAACTTGCCCATGGGCATATTAAAAACTACCGATTAATCGATAAGATAAATTTTGTTTAACAAAAAAAAAGGGCATTGCTAATTTGTAAGTGCAAAGGCAATCGTCATTGTGTGTATTAATACATTTGAATATATAAAGCCCATTCAAAATGCTATGCGAGCCCAGGTCCTTTAAACACGATCTTACACTGGAATGCTGCCCAAGCCTATTCACAAAAAGCTGTTGGTTTCATATTTTTCAGTTTTGTCGCTGCTACGTCATTCGGATATTAGTCACAGCCAGGCATTTGCTTGCTTCGAGAGGCCGTGTACCGTTGACGTGCGAAGATGGATGCTAAGCGGAAGGAATCTAGGTTGACGGACGCTATCGCTCATACAGCTCTAGGATACTTTCGTTTCAAAAACGCATTTCGAAAGCCTTTAGAAAGTGATGAGTATGTTATCCTTTTTCGGCAGAACCTGTCTAGAACAATAGGCAATAATTTTAACTATTAACTTAAAACTGATTGAAACGGGTACCTTTTCAGGGCCGAGGCAAATGCAACATTTGTAAATGACGTACAGTCTAGATCATTTGATCTCGATGGGGTTTTTCTTCCATGTTGTTGTTGTTGTTGATTTGAATGAATAAGCACTTCGATATTTACCTATCCGAATATCATTCCAGTTGAACGTAACACGGTAAGTCCTTACAACTTGTACCATTTCCAATCCTGATCTAACGTTCAACACGTAAACCTTTCAGTAAACCAGTTTCGTACGCAGAGCGTGTAAACGTGAGCATGTACTCGCCATACGTGAAGTCGGGCTACCTGAAGGCTCTTAGATTTGACAAAAAAAACGAACGGCCGTTTGACAAGTTAGACAAGTCGCTATCAATGGCGCAGGTTTGTCGATTGTTTTATTTTATTTATTTAACGAGAAAGGCAGCCAAGGCAAATGTAAGCATGACAATTACCTTGTCTAGAGACAACGAAAGCTGTCGATAATGATTATCTAAATACAGAAGTTAACACAACGTTGAAGAAAAATGCCGGTTCAAAAAGTACAAATACAACAAGGTTTTTGTCGTATTCAGTTAAAGCGTGGTTATCACTATTTCTATTTACTGATCAAAGCAGAGCGCCTTGCAATGTTGGCTAAAGAAGAAGACATTGATTAAGACAGAAAGCACTCACGTTGAAATTCTAACGTTTCAGTCATAGAAAATATAATTTATACAATGTACGAATCTCAGCCATTCGGCTTGCAGCTAATTTTTGATCAAAATCCAACCGGCAAAGTCTTCATCTTTCAGGTGTTTAAGGAGGCTGTTGCCATGTATGGAACGAAACCCTGTCTCGGCGTTAGAGATATTATTGAAACCCAGGAAGAAGTACAAAGCGATGGTAAAGTCTTCAAAAAGGTACGTGGCTGGTACGTGGCATTGCCATCCCCGTCGTGAGTATATATAACTATTTAAGGCCCATTTTTTAGTGTAAGCAATCCACCCTTATATTTTTTTCATTTCCTGCAGTATGGGCCTGTGTATAAGCCCTGTCCGCTTGAGAGTAATAAACGACCACGTTACCATCTGTCATCTCCGAGGCGATGGCAATAGGTGCTATTGAGCTGCTCGTCATTCAAAACGCGTGTATGCAAAGTGTCCTAGCATGCCTGAAGAACAGACTAATCACTCTTTCAGAGAGGCACGGCCAGTAGTTTTATTTACGGATATGTGTAAATCTAAAAAACGTACGCATGTTCCTAATGACTGTTCGTTGTCCCTCTCGTGTGCATGTAACTTCCATCATGCTAAACTTCGGCCTGGCTCATTTTTAAATGACAGTTGCATCATTACTAAAAACGTACCCTCTCTAATAGGTGAGACTTTCCCAGTACAATTTTCTTACCTATAATAACGTTGACGCTCAAGTGGATTTATACGGGAAAGGCCTTAGAGCTATTGGCGTTAAACCTCGGGAAAATGTTATCTTGTTTGCGGACACCCGATGGGAATGGATGGCTATGGCCCAAGCGCTTCTCAGGCAAAACATGCCTATTGTAACATTGTATAGCATGCTGAGCGAAAACGGCATACATCATGGTAAGCATTGTTCTTTTTCTGGTCCTTATTTACTTGTGGTCCTATTTAGACAAAATCTAAGTGCGTCTCGCCGCAGCTTGTTACCTGTTTATGCTAGAAAATAATAAACAGCAACATCGGTCAATCGCCTAGTTTGCCATTTAGCAGCCACATTAATAACAGCCTTTATTATTAAGCCAGCCATGCAAAAGCTGCATATGTATGCAATGAAGAGAACAGAGTCTGTAGCATTACTAGCCAGTTTGGATGTCAAAAACAGATAACATTGTGCGCTGAGACTTGCATTGTCCTTGGTCCTCCTACAAGTCCTTGGCTATTCTTTCCGTAAGTAGCTCGTTCTGACACTTCGACAGTCTCTTCCAAACGAAGACAACAATTCTGACAAACTTGCTTCGATAAATACGCGTCGCTTGCAATGAACGGAATGTTAATATGAAAATTTAATGATTTACTCTAAACGCTTTAGGCATACAGGAGACCGAAGCAACCGTAATGATTACCAGTCGTGAGCTACTTGACAAGTTTCACAAGGTAACGTAAATGCAAAATCTAATCTAATGCGAAAAAACAACAACAACAGGTTGTTGTTAACCTGTATACAGTGTCTATTTGTATTAGTTAGCTAGATCGACCAATATATTATATATAATTCCAATGAATAGAATTTGAGATGTTGTTTGTTGTTGATCTTGTTACGGGACGGAATATTCCGCCGGACGAGACAACGTTTACAATGAGATTTCGTAGTTTGGTTAAAATTCAGCGCTTATGGTCGTAACCCATAGTGTATTGAACTTCCTTAGGTTTACTTAATTACACTACCTTTGTTACATTACTTTGCTAAAATGTTCAATTGCAAGCGAGCAACTTCTTAGCGTCTGACGAGCTCATTTAATGTAGTTTTCCTGCCAAAGTATTCGTCCAAATGGCACAATTGTTTTTTTCTAGTCGTTGGCTACGCTGCTGCAGCTTCAACACATCATCTATATGGAAAAAGAGATTGCCCCCAAGCCGACGCCTATGAAGGGAAAAACACTTCTTAGTCTTTCTGAATTGGAGCGCATTGCCAAAGGTGCTAAAGTGAGTAAAAAGTATTCATATTGCATCAATCTGCTCGACGAAGCCTATTATTTGGTCTTACTCGTTTGATTATCTTACATAGGGCTTGTGTGAACTAGCGTAAATGCGCCCGACAAATACTCAGTTGCTCTTGGCTATTGTTAAACCTGATCGCACTGTTTACGATATCGACTCGAACAACAAGCCTGTGCTTGAGTTGTTATGGAGAATATTCAACTAGTATCAGGCAAATGTTGACTGTCGATTGTTCTTTGTTGGAATACACATCTCTGGACGGCCAACGTAATCAAAACTTGCGTCTATATGAACTTGAACAGTCTCTTTTTGTATTTACGTTGTGATGCAGGGTGAATTTGAAGAAGTCCCACCTACTCCAGATGACACAGCTATTCTAATGTACACGTCTGGGTCGACGGGTTTGCCTAAGGCTGTTATTTTGACCCACAGAAATATGCTTGCAGCAGCTCGGGGACTCTGCGATGTGTTCGAAAAGCTCAAGGTGAGACGGCTCTCTGCACAGGAATTTTTCGACTGAACGAGCCTATCTTACAGACGTATTTGAAAAAATAATCGAATAGAGATGGTAAGTAAAAAAGTTCTATGCTTAGCGCACAGGACGCCGGAGAAAATCCCATCTCATATAACCCACGTAACCCTGGCGGAAGAATATATTCTATAATATTTTATCACTGCTTCGTAGTGAGGTGTTGGCATAGTGCAAGAAAATAACGTTTCCTATAACGATATGTATATCGTAGAGAGCGCACACGACATACCTTCGTCAGTAAAGTAGCGCATCCATATATCTTAATTTAACTCAGCTTTTGTCAAATATTTTTTCTTCTTATGTAAATTAATAATGCCGAGCGATTCGCTTTAATACCTAGGAATAGCGTCGGTCGGCAGAACCTTTACGTTTGTGCTATTTCACCGCATAGTTTTTGTTTGTCACTAACGAAAATCGAGTTACCGAAACGATCTTCATCCTGGTTTTGCCAAATATAGGTCAAGCAAGAAAGTGACAGCTATATTGCATATCTGCCCCTAGCGCATGTCTTTGAGCTGAACTGTGAAATAATCGCGATTTTGTATGGCGTAAGAATTGGCTATTCATCTCCTGTTACGCTTACGGACTCTTCAACTGGCCTCCTGGCCGGAACCAAGGTGGGAACACGTGGTTACATCACATACGAAAAAATCAATTCAAACAGTTCGTAGCCAAACTGAATTTATAGCTATGAATCTATCTGTAAATGATTCCCCATACATGTGGTTTTTCAGGTTAGCTCGCCTTGAGGCAGGAGTTCCCTAGATACCTTTGTTTGTTGGATATTTGATCACATTTCACTTGGCTTAGGGATTTACTGTTATATAATGATTCAATAATTGATACACAATTTATCTGTATTTATATGAAATATCTGTGCGAAAAGCTGATTTGATGACATAACATGTGCAGATGCAACATGGCTAACCGTGATCGTTATCTTGTATTGCATAAAAGTCTCTAAATAAACAAAGTTGCAATTTACTATGTATATAATCACGTTGCCTTTGTTCCTCCGAATAGGGCGACTGTACTCTACTGCAGCCGACAATCATGGCGTGTGTTCCACTTGTGTTAGATCGAGTGAAAAAATCGATTCTTGAAAAAGCGGCTGCCAAAGGATCAACTGCGCTGAGGGTACTAGAGCTCGCTGTCGAGGACTCTGTTCGAAGATTTAAAGCTGGGCAGGTAGGTAACATTCCATAACCCATATTTGTCGAACAAACTATGCTATTAATAACAATAATTATTATTATGATTTGTTATTTATTTTTTATCACACAAGTAACGATGGTCATACACCAGAGTCGTGAGAAAACGCGCGAAAAATGTAGCGTGCACATAGAATATAACCAATAAGCAATAAAAAATTAAAGTTGTTCAACGTTGTAGAGCATCACGTGTACTATAATTAACTAATTATTAAAATATAATAATCAAATTAACGATTACCGTCAACTCCTTGTGGAGTGAATAACATCGACACGAGCTTTAATATCGATTGCATTATGCATGCGCAATTTAATAATCACCTTGTGTTTGTGTGCCCAACGAAGAACTCAACCGTGTACGACAAAGACGTCTTCAGCGAAATCCGCTCCGTGGTAGGAGGCCGCATCCGAATGATAGCCACGGGCTCAGCACCACTATCGCCTGAAACCCAAGATTTTATCAGGGCTGCACTGGGATGCTACCTTATACAAGTATTATCATTCAAGGAGCAAAAAACTTACATATACTATAATTCAGTAGATATTTGACATCTTGATTTGAACCAATTTATGATTAAAGAGTGCATTTCTTTGGGTAAGTTGTAGATGATGCACCCACCCACGCCATCAACGTTGCCGGGCGGCTTTCAAATAAATTTTGCAAGTTCTACTTCTCGGTACCGCCTTAGTTAATGCATAGCTTCAGGCAATTGGCCGCTTGCAACAGAACACGCATCCTGTGTCTACGTCCACTTCTAAACCTAGGTTATCTGGCGTGCCCATTAGGAAGAACCACCGAATGCATTAGCCCACACAATAGAAGGGAGTATTAAGAAGCTTTTGAGCTTCCGAAAAAACCGTTATCGATAATATGCCTGCCTTCGTTCGTGTGCAGGGTTACGGCTTGACGGAGACATGTGCTGCAGCCACATGTATGGAGTTGAATGACAAATCAACAGGAAGCGTTGGTGCACCCGTAAATGGTGCCCTGGTTCGGCTGGAAGATTGGACGGAAGGAAAATACTTGGTCACGTGTAATCAAGGGGAGATTGTTGTCGGCGGCGAAATGGTTGCGGCAGGCTATTACAAAAATTCGCAACTTACCAAGGAGTGTTTCTTCGAAGAGGTGCGGCACAGTCGCGATATGCTGATGTCATTCTGAAAGATAATCATAGAAACACAACGTAATCAAATTTTATTAACTGCCGGCCATTGGCAGTGGCGATTCTCGTTACAACGACCCTGTGGGGTCGTCAGTATCCACGATTACTTTTTGCTACTGTTGACTCTGGATACTGTAGTTTGGGCACCCGAAACGAAAAGCGTTTCATCCTTTGCGCGGTGTAAAAGGCACTGTCGACCAGTGCCATAAAATGGGTATACACTAACATACTCGTTTCTGTGCGAGCTCAACTAATAATAGCTGAAGCAATTTATTTTATATGATTGTTACTACGCTAATTTACCTACATTTGGCCCCATAATTAAGATATTTCATCGACTCGAATACGCACCAGCTTGCAGCAAATAAGTCTGTAAACGTTCACTGCAGATTACCTATTAAACCCTGAGTACTCATTTAAATAATGCAGACTAAATGTATGGGTTCGTGCTTTTGGCATTCAGACTCATTCGTAGGATCAAAATTTAAAACCTTACTCGAATGCAAAATATAGCAAACGTTCTCTAAGCAAGAATAAACATTGGAAATATGGGCTCCACAAGAGACCATTTTAGCCCAGCTCGCTAATAAGATACAATTAATTACAGGATGGCGTGAGGTGGTTCCGCACAGGTGATATAGGCGAAGTTACAAACTTGGGTACTTTCAAGATTATCGACAGAAAAAAAGATCTTGTGAAACTCAAAAATGGAGAGTAAGTTTAGCTAAATACGATTCTTTAATATCGTTTTATAATATATTCATATTTTTTTATAATATATAGATATATTCAATAAATTTAATGATAAAAACTATTCTTTTAAACATTTTTAGATATATACCACTTGGCAAGATTGAGACGGAGATGAAAACGAATCACTTCGTGGAGCAGGTTTGCGTCTGTGCTGACAGCTTCCAAGATTATATAGTCGCCCTGGTGCAGGTTAATGAAAAGAACCTAAAGGCGCTTGCCTGCAGCGTTGGAGTAGACCCCACCAAGGACAATAAAGAACTTTGCAAGGTAAATCCTTATTTTGTAACGTACACTAACTTACGGGACAATGATAAATGGGAAAATCTTCAAGCAGATATGAACCACAAATTGGGCATCCGAATACAAGTAAAAGAATTGAGCAATGTATAGAAGCTTTACTCTAGATAAGCAAAAATCCGCACTGTTGCTTTTGAAAAAGAAGGTTTTTCCTGGCTGATCTTCGGTTTTGAGTGGCTCACAACTTCCGGCTCTGGACTCTATAACAAAGCTTTGGCTGCACAACATGGTATTGTGAATTTTCAGCGGAAGTCCGAAAGCTTTTCAAAACTTATGACCAAGTGAATGGCTTAATATTAATACTTACTTTGTGCAAAACGTCTTTGTATTCTTGGCTAGTTCGTAATCCAGTAGAAAAAACAGATCACAGCTTAATCTATGTGGACACAAATGCCAATACATCTTCCAAGCAGTGACCTAACGTCGCGAAGAAGCCAACTACGTTAATGATCCATTTTATTGAGATAAAGATATCCTGAAATTCCTCATAAACCTACCTTAAAGATCAGAAAGCAGATGCATTAAGCTTAAAGGTGTGTCCATTAAACGTATATTAGCACAATTCACATAAGGCCACCTTACATTTGTTAGCAGTCTCTGGTATACATAAATAATACTGTCTTTCTGCTCTTTATACTGGTCGTTTATCGTAATATCATTAGGACCCTGCGATTGTCCAATATCTACTCGTTAATTTCGAGGCACAGCTGCGGAGGCGCAGATTCAAAACGGTCGAGATTCCAAAAAAACTGACTTTGTGCGCCGAAGAATGGACCCCGGATAGCGGGCTGGTAACGGCTGCCTTCAAACTACGCCGCAAGCAAATTCAAGAACATTATCAGAAGGAAATCGACCGAATGTATGAAAACAGTAGTTACTCAAAATGAATCCCTGACTTTCGTTTCTAATGGCTCTCGCTTCAGCCAGTGGGGCATAACGATTATTGGCTCCCAAGCAATGCTCGCAAATCAGATGCAGTTTTCTTTCTCTACAAAACGACGACGTTAGTAGTCCTAAGGTTTATAGCCAGCTGCATGTGGGTAAAAACGAAAACCTTTTATCGACATGTTTGCCTTATAATTAATATTATGGTATAGTATAATTAATATGCTAGTGTATTTGTCGTATGCAGATAATATAACTAATATGTTAGTATATTTGTTGTATACAGCAATCAAGCCCGTAGGATCGAAGGGGTTTGCCAAACAGGCTTAACAGACGAACGATTCTAAGCACTAAATACAAGTAGACTGAATCCATGTTGCTATCCTTTTTTTTACCTAATTACTTATCACGTTTCAATGATAACTGCAGCTTAAGATAAATGAGACGTTGCCTCTTAAAAATCACAAACATGTTAAATTTTAAGTAAATGTTTTGTGTGATCCACATGCTCCATTCTAGTAATGATCGATGTGTATGTATCGTCCCTATATAATATTTCGTAAAGGGATGATAGCTTACATCCGCGAAAATGGTGTTGACATTTATTCTGATCTAGTAGGCAGAAGGAACTGAACACTGAAATTTCGCATCGTTCGCACACCGCCAGACTTTCTAAACATCAGTTCAAGCTATAAGAACAGGTTGAAAATGAGTCGAACACGTTAAATGACGCCGCTCCGACTAACTAGTTACTGAATCTTTGTATATGTGATTATTTTAGAACATTAATGCACCGATGTCTATTTCGAATCTTGGATAACCCATATAATATATGCACTTCTATTAAAAAACTATTAAAAAATCATGTAATCTATAAATAATGTATAATTAAAGTATACGAAATGTAAGACAGGTACGCTCAGAAGACAAGGATGCTACAGTAGTGTCCAGTCGTTATATAAGCTAATAAAATTACCGACTTATCAAAACTAAACATATTTGTTTGGGGTCATGCGCCCTTCGTTCGATCCTATTATAAGCGTTTTGTTAACTACTAAGTATCATTAAATTTTACTGTCTTCACTTAAGTATAAAGACTGCTTGCTTGGTTTTCAAGTCTACTTGGGGTCGTCGAAGTGCAGGCGGGAGATTTAAAGTAACTGGGAAAACTAGCCTCGAGGTGCATTCTACCTGCTAGTCTCTCATCCAAGCGAAGATAAATAGCGTTCATGGTAAGCCCAAACAAATTTTTAATCAGTGCGGCACACTACCGGCATCGTCCTGCCTAATTTCTAATTTGGACGAAATTTTTTACGCTAGTAGTAAGGAGGAACTTTGATTCTGTGTATGATGCGGAAAAAATAGTGGCTTTGACCTCTTGACGGTAAAGATACCACTGTGGTTACTAGGAGCCACATACCTCTAAGCAAATGGCCTAATAAATCCTTGAGGGTGCGGACCGCTCGTAGTTATGAAAATGAATATGCACCGAGCAAATCTCGAGGGAAATACTCTAATGCAGCCACAGAAAAATTTGCTTGTGGGCACCAATATGTAACTATTATGTATTCTAAATAGCTACCTTTTTTCTTCCATTATATGTATACAATATTATACACTCGTGGACGAACTTCGAGAAACGTATTTAACCGACAAGATAAATCCCACTGTAGACATCGCGTTATATTTTTTGTTTCCGACAAAACTATTTGGGTAAGATGTCCTGTATATCTCGGCTCCTTTCATACTCTAAATATTCCTTGGAATCGGCAGGGTCTTATAAGAAATGCAAAAAACTAGGCATGACACGGAACAATCGCAATTAAGTCTATTTTTTTAATTAAATAAACCTACGGAATTTCTGTTCAAATAGCTAAAATGTCCTTAAAATATATAAATTATATATGTATTTTTTAGCCTTGATTTACCACTAATTTTTAGAGTTTCCTTCATTAACAAGTAGTGACACAATTAGGAGCGATTAGTTGAATTTTCAGTTTCCTGAGAAAACGCCTAGATGCGCAAAATAGATATAAAAAAAAGACTACAAAATTATATAGAAAAAACTGTATGCATCGCGGCAGTGCCGTCAGGTCATATGTATCAGACCATAACCTCAAGAACCGTTATTGTATACTTAGTAAATTGTTTATTACCAGTAAATTGTTTATTACCATCTCATTTTATAATAGTCAGTAATTATTCATTCATTTCCTCGTTACCTGTCTTCATTCGTATGATAATAAGTTCGTATTTATAAAACCAGGTGAGTTCTTTGAAAATTCAATTTAATTTTTTTGCTATTTTTTTTTCTTGTAGCTTTAGTTGATAACACTTTCTTGCATGTGAAGAGTAGCTATTCATGCAGTTAGGCCTATATATAGCTATAGTTAAACAGAAAATTCTGGATGTAGTTTCCATAAGTGTTCATATATCGATAAAACCAACAATTTCGCCATCCGTTCAGTGCGTATGCGATACCAAAAAAAGAAAGCCACTACAAAAAGCACCGATTTCTACAAACGAATTTACTAAGGACGTTTTAATAGAATAGTTCTCATCTTCGATCGGTCCATACCGTAGTGCTTTCCACAAATGTACGCAGACTTTCCGAAACACGTAAGCCATCCTGGATATAAGTAGATAAAACAGTGGCCTTATAATGGGGTAGCCCTGTAAATGCGTGAACTTGACACTCTGAGGAATTTATAAAATACGATTTTCTTAAATATATATACATCTAATATTAATTCATTCCAAATATATATA